AAACCACAAAAACCAGCACAACAATATCGGGATGATTTTTCAAGTGCGGATTGTCTCAGAATTACGCCCGGCGATGCAAATGAGGATATTATGGATTAATTTGTATCCAGAGTTGTGGTGATCCGGGTCTACGAGANTCTACGAGATGACGCATATCCGGGAGCGATGCGTTACAGTTTTAGGACAACTGTGATCAATCAAACTTCACGGGTGACGTACGTGTCACTGCTGCTGGACCACATACCATAGGTAGATTGTAACAGCCAATCAGAGACCGTGCGGCCCAGACAGAAGCAGAACGACGCCAGAAATACTGGAACGCGATAGGCAGAAACCTGGATGACCAATGAGCATGTTTTGTACATATTATTTATTCTCCCCTATTTCTTCAAATTAAGAAACTACTACTCCTGTGGCCTTCTCTTCTCGTCTCGGTTACGTACAAGTGCCAGTGCGGTCCAGTGCTTAAGTGATCCAGTCCGTGTTTGCTAATCCTTAATTCGTATTCCGTAATCCGTATTGCGTGGTTCGTATTTCGTGTTCGGTGCGTACTACTACTACCATTACCACAACCACTACAAGAGTACGAGTAAAAAATGGCTTGGCAGAAAGGTATCGGTCGTGAAAAACTCAACCCATTACTCGTTTAGCCATTCATACACCGCTTATTATAAAATCATTGAGAGTCGATTCAAGTTGCTGGCACACCAGAGTCACGCAAGGTGGCAAAGTATTTCTATCACAGATTTAATGTCTTGCTTGTATAGATAAATTCCTTCGGGTTTCATGCACAAAAAAACGGGAATATTGTTTACTTCAATTCGCCAAAGCTGTAACTGTTTGACGGCTTCAATCGAATGTACAGAGCCTGTAACAACTGCTCTGTTTAATATATGTTGTCCAACGATAGTAGGGTAAACACCCTCTATCATGTGTTTACTCGTNGTTTCTCTGTGGTTGTGTATGCCACTTCAGACCCGTTTGTGTCTCATCACGTTTGTGTGTGATCTGATAGACTTCATTCATCCGGGCCGATATTCTTTCAACTACGTTTGATGAATAGAGAAGCCAAAATTACGGGGAAACTGTGATCCAAATTATCAAACTACGGTTGTTATTATTCTGACTGTTTAACTTTGCTGATACAGTGCGATTGCTCCATCGTTTCACATCATCTGGTTCCCCTCACCCGTGACCTGAAACGATTAAATTCCCTTTGACTCTCTTCGCGATCTGTTTGGATCAGTTCCCACGATTTCCGCCACTTGGAATCCCTCAATCTAACTTGAGACTGTCTGATCACCGATCCGTACACAGCTGTACAAGCTTAGCCGAAATATGGCAATTCCTCTCTATGCAAAATTGCAATACGAATGGTTTCTCGCCCGGTTACGCTCCTGGCTTCATGTTCAGCAAATCATCCGGTCCGATTGAACAAAAGGAAAATGCGTAACCTGAACAACTCACGTGATTGTATGCATTCACGTTCATACCTAACCGTGATATGATTAACGTAAAGCTGATAGACAAATGACAGCCAGACCAACTTGTGTCACCCAGTCTCGATGTGATGTTGGTTCGATTGATATGGTGCACTTGGTCTTTATCCAACTATCCCGTAGGTAATTACTCTCCACATGTGTGTGTATGTATGTGTGAACCCTGCTGATGTCAATAAAAGATCGTCAACACGATTATTTTAGTCAAATATGATTATTTCTGTTCCGAATACAACAACGTGGAAAATGTTGGCATTTCAAATGAAGCTTATTCACATCTGACTATCCGGCTAATAATCATTTCCGCCTATTCGCCGAGACTAGCAATTTGTTCGCAAACGTTTCTTTACTCGCCTAGGTGACATATTCAATGCTTATGAAGATCACTCAGTGCTCCATCTATCGAGCTGCACTCTGTCTTGTGACACCCTTGTGGTGTGAACAACTGATGGAGTACACCTCATGTGCACGAAGTTCGTTCGACTGGTCAGTCCAGAAAACCGATAACCGTAACCCCGGAACTTAAAGTACTGAATTATACAATACCGCAATAGATGAGACGTGGTATTGAGCCGTACGTGAACGAAGCTCTGTATCACTCCAGTGCTGCTGAATAATGCACTAATGTTGTCGAATTTTTACCAGCAGAATCTCGCGATTGGAAAAGGACATTGTCCTTCTCGAGCACAGGATCTGCTAAAGAGTAAATGCTCACAGTATAATCAGTCAGTGGGTAAACATTTGTTCGGAGGATTTCTGGGGCAATAATGGATGATAAATCAGCTGTTCACTGTCACGCACAATTGCCTATATGATTTTTTTCACTGATGGTTTCGTTCTGCATGATCGTGGGTCAAGCATATTTTCCTTTACTCCCTTCGTCCCTCCACTCATCCCCAGTTCCAACACACATACACAACTGCTAGTAAAAAGAGAACGAAAACCGAAAGAGAAAAATAAACATACGGTTGTTTTCGCTCATTTATAATTCATTGACATCTTAATGCATTTTCGATCATTTGATGTGCGTGCGTGTGCCTGTGTGTTGGAGTTAGCTACTTATAAACTGGCAAACCTTTATTGTTCTCTACTTGTTGTTATTTAGTCTGAACATGACGCATCAATACAACAAGGGGGGCGAAATTAGAAGGTTTAAGCCATGTTACGATGCAGCATGAATTCAGTTATTGAATTCACTGATCACATGAGATTTGCCTAAACGAGGTAATTCAAAAAACATTGAATTTTATATGCAAACAGTCACCGGTTTTCTCGCCAGATTTTATTCATCACAGGCATCCGATGCATCCAGATAGATATTAAATAAATGCCTCTACAGCTGATCTAATGTTGTTAAACCAACAAACTCACTTAGTCATCGATTTTGAACATGCTTTTAAACTACTATCTACTTTTATCATTCAATGTGGACATCTATTGGATGATAGGCACATGTTTGCTGTATATGAGTGTTAACCATAGAGAGTGGCACAGTCTTAGTCTCAGATGTGCACAATGGGATTGGAGGTGACGATAAAACACTAAGACATCACTTTACTTTGGACGACGGACAAAGGTGCTGAAACGAGAGGGTGATCGATGGGTTACCCCATGGTCTGATTCGTCTTATTCGTGAGTTAAGACAGTCCATGAATGCATCACACATTTCGGGTGGAAGTAAATTTGTTGCACAGCTGAATTAAAGGGACAGACACTTTTTTTCCTTTACTTTTGTGAGTAGAAAACTGGCGAGGTTTATTTTTTACACAGTGAAACTTACAGGCATTCCCAATTAGGAAAAGCATAAAAGGTCAACATGGCAGCCAAATGGAAAATTTTATCCAAAAAAAGTTGAACATATGATGCGAAGAAAAGTCAGCGAAGCACTCGGGTTATGTCTGACTGCACTACTTTATTCCGAAATAGGGCGATCATTCGACGAGGTCTATCAGTTATAAACCTGTTAGTCATTTGTCCTCTTTTTCATAGTGATTCTAGGTAGCACAATGTCACCAGTGGAGAAATCGAAGTGGCATGTATTCAGTAGGTTGCACATTCACACACACACACACACACACACACACACACACACACACACAACGTATTACCAGATTTACGAGAGCATTCAGTATGGGGATTCGTTGTGAATTAATGACATCCAGTACTCACAATCCAGTTGAACACTTGACTATTTGCCCATCTTGGCTCAAAGAATAAAGTGATCGATCGCCCTATCCTGATCAACTGGAACATCAATTGATGCAGCAATTAAAATTCAAAGCGGATTATCAATTTGAACAAGAACTACACCTCACACGGTTCAATAACCCCCTGATTAAATTATACGAAATTATACAATCAGTTTTGTCTCGGGGTCCATTATCTGTAACTGGTCTAGGTCTGTCGGCAACTTAGGACAGAAACTCAGAGTACAAATGCTTGCACACAAACACACAAGTATATATATATATATATATATATATATATATATATATATGAGGATACGATGAGTGAATCACCGTTTGTTCAGCAAGATATGATATACTACCAAGCCGGGCTACCTCCTTGTGGATTCCAAAACTTGGAATCCAGATTTCATCTCGATGGATAACCTCTACGAGTTCTTCATCGGGCGAATATGTCGAAATGTCAAGATGCATAGTACTCCTAACAATTTGGAAAACACCTCGAAAACCAAATGGAACAACTGAATTTGCGTAGTATGTAAAACGCCGGTCAAGAGAATGCAGGAATGGTGTATTGTGGTGTTTTGGACGAAGAGGGACAGACCACACCAGTGCAGTAGGATAATTCACATTTGTAGTACAATACCCCATAGTTTTACTCATTCATATTTGAATATTCACGAATAATATTTCAATTCCTTCACAGCTGTTGAACATGTTCACATTTTTTCACTGTCCATTTCTTCGATGATTCGCGGATGAGGAATGGCCGTTGTGGAGGTTTGTACGCCGAAACGGAATCGAAAAACTCAAGTGTCCTCGGGATATTTCCGCGCACTGCCTGGGTCAGCTGATTTGCTTATTGAATTCAGACGCAAACTAGAACGCACTCACCCGGTTGCACGTACACACGAGCACATGCACACATACACACACACACACTGGTGCAACTGTGCTAGGCAGGTGCGATATATGCGTGTGGGTGCTTATAGACATACAGAGAAGGGGGTTGAAGAAGCCATTGTACACGTGTGACAGACTCATGGATGTGTACAGGAGGCGCTTGTTAGTCCGCCTCGAAATGTCGTGTAAGTGTAGTCGCAACCACAAATGCCGTCGGTCTAACCTTAACCATGCACGAATAGGAACTACGTGCTGGCCCAGACCAATGCATATTCACAGTCAGACACGTATATATAAATGACCGCGCGTGGATTTTCACGAGCAGCATTTTTCTGCTTTTGCATTTTGACCGGCGTGCGTGTGTGTGGGTATATTTGTCTATGTGCATGTTAAAATTGGTAATCATTCGCAAATGATCGATCTATCCGTGCTCGCCAAAGGATTGCCCCTGAATCCCCTGCCCGAACTACGACCGCGTGACCCAACTATTCCCCACGCTCCGAATTTGTGTCCCCAGTTGGATGAGGATGAAAAAGCGTTGGCTTTGGCCAATGCCTTGCGCTACATTCCGAGCGAATTGCATGATCAATTGGCCCTGGAATTCGCTCACGAACTGGCCACATATGGGCACATCTATATGTATCGATTTCGACCTGACCCGGCCTTACTCAAGGCACATCCCATCGGTCAATATCCGGCTAAGTGTGTAGAAGCCGCCGCAATCATGCTGATGATATGCAATAACCTGGATCGTGAAGTGAGAACAATATCTTTTTCTATTTGTTTTCATTGCAAGTTGGCGCACAATACCTTAAGCTTTCCAAATTAAAATGTTCCGATATCCAATTCAAATGTCACGTTACTACGTGAACGAGATACTGTGTTTTGCATGGTACTGAGGCTTTAGCGAGTTACATACAAACTTTCAGCCAAAAAGAGACACAAAGAGCACAAGGAAAGGTTTGCGGAGGGAATAGCTTATCCAAATGACGATAACACCATCGATCAACTGGGGTAATGCAGGAAATTCTACTACACAGAACGGGTGATTCTTTTGACGAAGTACTTTACACAAGCAAGTTCACGTGGCTCGTAAGCGGATGGCAGAACACTGAATTTTGACCACCAACATAGTGTGCCAGTAAGGCACACCTCGTGCTCCACAGGCTCGTTGTCGTAGTAGGTGCAAGATATCGCGTCAACAAAAAATTATAGCCCGATACCTTTCATCGAAAAGGTATCGATTATCTTATTGATTCGTGGTAAGTTCTGTGAGTTTTAACTTCCATACCCATCGTTCGTATATCTTAACTTTGGACGAGACAAATTCACACGTGCTACTTAACCGGTACTATTAATGAGTAACAGATCATTGAACGAGAGCCGAATAATGTGGAAAGGGCATGACCGATTAACTACAAGAAACAATGAAAACACGACTCACTCCTTTACCCAGATCAAATGAAGGATATTATATTCTGGCATAGTAGATAATCACCTCTCATTGATCACCGTTAATTAAAGCATACGACCACAAAGTTAATTAGACAATTTGTTTTCTTCTACTTACCCACTGAAAGAATATAAGAGATACAATTTGATATAATTTTCTTTCAACAAAATGAACCTCCCAGAGTTAACCAGGCGACTGTAAACCCAGTTCCCATGAAGGCTTGAGTATGCGGGCACACAAGGGGTCCAAACACTTCTTGCCCATTATTCGAACTGACGAAAATTTAATAGGGAAGATGTCGGTCTGATAAGTAAATCAAACTTGGTAGAGGAAACGTCTATGAGTAATTTGTCTGGTGTAGAATAAGAGTTGACCGTGAGTTATTTAGTTGATACTATTATCAACATGACGCGGACCCATCTGTCTTCAGATTCACAGGGAATTACTAGGGTTATGTTTCATCGATTTGGCAGAGCCTTGGATAGACTGATGCAATTGACATCCAACACGATAACCCAACCGAGTCTATTGTAATGTACTTCTGTTTAAAACTGTAATTGTGATCATAAATCGATGGAGTTTTTCTTTCTCTTATCCGATTGTTTCGTTATTCTCCAAGGTGGCACAATTTTCAGACGAACTGGTCACCTACGGTGGAAATGGTCAAGTATTTTCTAATTGGGCTCAATTCTGGCTTGTTATGAAGGCTCTGAGCAGACTGACCAGCAAACAGACTCTTGTGCTCTATTCCGGCCATCCAGCTGGCCTGTTTCCAAGCCACACTTTGGCCCCACGAATGGTCATCACCAACGGGATGCTGGTCCCGCGACCTGGATTGCAAAAAGGTTATCAGAAATTGTTTGCCCTAGGTGTGACCCAATACGGTCAAATGACAGCCGGCTCGTTCTGTTATATTGGCTCGCAGGGTATCGTGCACGGGACCACACTGACCATACTGAACGCATTTCGGCGGCACATGGGTTCGAGACTGGAGCATGGTTCATATCACACAAACGATGACTTCATCCGCGGTAAGGTGTTTCTCAGTTCCGGATTGGGTGGCATGAGTGGCGCGCAGGTGAGATTTATTATTGACACCCATACTATTTACTTCCCATTTTCTAAACGATTTAGCCTGACTGTATAGTAAATTGCGTCGTACACACAGTAAACGAAGCGTGAGCTAAAAACCTTGAAAGCACTAGACAGCTTTTTTTGACCTGGTTGGGTTTCATCAATAGTGCGGCTCGGCCAACCCAACTGGAGATCAAAACTGACATTTCACAGGTAGAACGGAATCATACTCGCAATTAGACGACCGGGCAGCCGCTCAGAGCGTTTCTTATTTTATCTTTAGACGATACAGCAAAATCTATCTTTGCGAGCTCAAAGCGGGCATCGCATCTTGCGCATANCGCATATCAACACTAGCTAGCTTGCAAGGTTGTGTTGAGTTGAAACATTCTGAGTTTCGTTTGCTCTGTACACGATGAACTCAAATCCTCCATTACCATCATGTAATGAGGCGTGCACTGGATACTGACCAAGTGATCGAGTGAATGAACACATCCATCATTCTGCTTATCCGATACAAACACCCAAGGTTTGGTTGGCCTAATCTCTACTCCCTGTCTGTTGCATGCCACTCAAGCCAGACTACGCCGGTCTGTGATAACTAGCCGTGCATAATTGATCCAACTGTCCCAAGCCCCATCTGCGGCGGAATTCGGACTTTGTTACTCTATGCAAGGCCGTGTTGTAAGGGTCTTGAGTACGCTGAGCTCATGTGTGCCGCATTGATTTGCTCCTNACACACACACACACACACACACACACACACACACACAGGTGAGCAGTTTAGCCACTAACCACAGTGCTCTCTCTCCATTGTTGAACTCGTTGGCATTTTGTTTTCACTAATCCATTCACGCACGTGACTCTGTCTGGACAATACAGGCTAAGGCGGCCGTGATTATCGGATGTGTCGGGGTGATTGCGGAAGTGAGCGAGCAAGCCCTGAATAAACGATTCGTTCAAGGTTGGCTAACGGAACGTGTGGATAATTTGGAAAAGCTGATGGAACGTATACGTCAGCGACGGAAAGAGAAGCGTGCTGTCAGTATCGGATATTTGGGTAACATTGTGGATGTCTGGCAACAATTGGTGAAAGAATATAGACAAACCGGTGAGCTTCTGGTCGATATTGCGTCCGATCAGACGTCGTGTCACAATCCATTCCATGGGGGCTACTATCCATGTGGTAAGTCTATATGTGGAGAGGAATGAGATGAATTTATTTGCTCTGTCCGTCAATCACTGTTGGGTTGCTGCCAGTTCTAGGCGGATAGTTAGAGTCTGGCTTTCAAGTGACACCACAGCGACCGAATTCGGTGACAGGGTAATCCACTACCTAGCTCAGCTATATAGTTTATTGAAAATAAAGGAAGAGAATTGGAATTTTTTATCAGACGAAGATATTTCGTTCATTGCCAAAGTGACACCAACAGCAGCAAGATCCTGCCGAAAATTTGCGAATGACGAAACTAATCGCTGTCTGATGACGATCACTCCTAGTGTCAGTCATGCATTTTTAAAGTGCAGCAATCTTCTGAGGATGAGACCCGATATCACGGGTGGTAGTGGCGTCGAATTCCAGCAGATGCGCATTTCAGCTGAGTATTAATTACAAGTGAGATGAAAAACAGTCGCAATGCGCATTGCATTGGAGATTACCTTCTTTTGTCTTTGCGAATTCACAGACATGGGGATGTGGTGTGGGTCTGACTCCGTGGGAGATCGTGCATTCCTCAAGTGTGAATGCATCTCACATGCGATGAACTAGTCTGATGGTGGACAAAGAGCACCGAGCATTGCTGTTTTCTTCTTGTTCGGACTCACTGACAGTGTGCACCACCTCTGTGCCCCTGTTTGACACAGTGCCTGTATTATTATAATCAAAGGTATGTGTGATACATTCACGTCACCTAACCAATCCATATTTGACAGAGCTTTATGTCTTAAGGGTCAAAATCACCGTAGTTGTACTGTTAGGTTTTCTCTCGTTCCCTTGTATATGGTAAACACCATCATACATATCTCTTGAACTAATGAGCCTTATTGACACTGAAGTCCCCCTACCCCTGAGAACATCAATCAATAAAATATTGACCATTGCATCAATTGTTACAGGCTACAGCTACGAAGCGGCTCGCAAACTCATGCGCGAAGACAGTAATACGTTCAGAAAGGCGGTCGAGAACAGTCTTCGGGTACAGGTGAGTACGAATTCAAACATTTTTAGATTTGCTTATACATTTATTCTGACTGACTGACAGTCGAACAATCGTCAAAAGTATCAAAATACCAATCACGATGTTTATTATTGTCGATCAAAGAAAATTGGAATACCCTTCAGATTTTAAAATATTTCCATACTTGTGGTATTTTCTGTTTTTCCAGTTCAAAGCGTGTCATTGCCATTTGACTGTGTGATTTACGGCTTTGCCTTTGTTCAATTCAATACACAGCTGGTTTTATAAGCGCTTTATGTAATTCAACAGTTGAAGTTCCAAGATTTGGATTACCGAGTGCTATAAATAGACACCAAATTTTCATGGTTTTTGGGTTGCCTTTTTACACTGTTTAATAAAAAATAATGTGTAATAAGAAATAATCTCCGAGCATTTACATTTTTACATCAACATGCATTGTTTCTTTGAAGGGCAAACCGCGTTTTCATGATTCATTATGAGGTTCATTCAAATCATCTCCATCACAGAATACCCGGCTTTACAGTGTGTTGATGTGCATCGCACAGTTACACACAGTTATACAAGTCGTACCGAAGCAGGATGTGTTCGGAAATTCTCACTGACTTGATTGGTGGAAGAGTAGTGGATGACTAAACTAGTCGGGAGAGGATATATACAAACAAGTGGCCGGATGCTCAAATCCACAGATACGGGAGGACTTTTTAGGACATATTTCCGTTTGATTCCCCACAACTACAGCTCATTTTGTAAACCAAGAAAAATTGTTCTCCAATTCAGGTAGCTGCAATCAATGAAATGACCAAAGCAGGTGTGTACTTCTTCGACTACGGAAACGCATTTTTGTTACAAGCAAAACTGGCCGGTGCGGATTTGGAGCCGACGGAAGAGCAATTAAAGGAGGCGAAGGAGCTGCGCATAATCCGCGAATTTCGGTATCCGTCATACGTTCAGGTAAGTCGATCTCGAGATTTCGGTACGTCTGATTGGTTGGTATCAAATTTGTCCAGACACACACATATCGACCACCACTTCTTTGATGCAGTAAAGCTTGGAGTAGGTCAACTGGTTTTCACTCATTGGGTCATACAATCTCGGAAATTGTTTATGAATGCATCTCTTTTTAGTTGACAAGTGATGTCTGATTCCCTTCTAAATGACTAGTGAAGACAAGATCTTTCCTTGTTTGTTTCGTCGACTACACATACACGCTGAACAACCTCTTTTCTATCTGAACCTGAGCGGATTTGCCCGTCACAGTTCGTGCTTTCCCATCTGACCAGAGAGGGAGCGGTGTGTGCGGCTTTGACAAGGAGAAATGCCGCAGATGAGTGTCACAGTGTAACATTTCACGATGATCCAAACCAGTCTCACTGTATGTGGCACATGTACGGCAATGATTCACGTAGAAACTTTGAAACGAAATGTGGAACTGTGAAGCCTTGAAGAGTATTTACGTATGAATACGCGATTAGCCGGAGCTCGGACAAACCTATCCATTAGGTTCACATTCGCTTTTTTTCGATGCATTGATCCAAACAGTGAAAGAGGAGGTAAGTTTTAAACCGTAAGCAGATGTTTCGTTTGGAACACTTGAGTGATCAAATTCACGTGTATGTTAAGATATTTAGCAAGTAATGAGTTTCCCCGGGAAGATTGTCTCGCATGGTCTACTGCATTTCACAAATCCCCCTTAGACGGTTACTGCAGACCGTTCAGAAATACGAATGATCTCTTGTAGAGCATCGTGATCCAACACACCAGTCGTTGGTTATCGTCCCGGTTTTTCACCAAGTAGCTTTTGTTTTTGTCTTCGCGAAAAATCTTAACCGATTTTTCATGATACAGTACAAACTGCTACGTTTTTAACTTCTGCAAACACGTTTTACATTCACTTCTCAACGTCCCTTACCTCCATCTCCTCAAAACATGTTCATAGGATATTATGGGTGACATATTTTCCATGGGATTTGGACCATTCCGTTGGGTGTGCACTTCCGGGCTACCAGAAGATTTACGCACGACAGATAAACTGGCCGAGGAACAATACCAACGGTTGAGCAGTCGAGCAGATCTGCCTTTACCGATTCGGCAACAGTTTGAAGACAATCTTCGATGGATTAAGAATGCCGACCGGCACAATCTCGTGGTCGGATCTCAGGTGAGTGAAATTCACGCGGATCATTTTGCACTCTCTCCGTGTGTGTTTTATGACGAAACCATGAATAAATGTGTTTTTCGTAATATGCACAAAACCCGTCCATCTAATGTATCCATATATTTTCCTCCATCTCTTTGACATTGAAGGCTCGAATCCTCTATTCGGACGAAGACGGTCGAGTGGCGATTGCCGAGGCTTTCAACGATGCCATTGCCAAAGGACTGTTGCACGGCCCGGTTGTGCTTAGTCGTGATCACCACGATGTCAGCGGGACAGACAGCCCGTACAGGGAGACAGCAAACATCTACGATGGATCCGCCGTGTGTGCCGACATGTCGGTAAGCAAGTGTGGTTGAGGGGAAGAGTTGATTGGTACGGTCGGTGGAAACCTCATTGTCGGCAATGGACGCCCTAGGTTAGATCATTCGGCTCACTTGAGTGGACGTGTGAGCACTGATGAGAACACCCGTTTAGTTTAAAATAATCGTACCAACATTTTAAGTGCAGGTTCGTTTTGAGTGCGAGCTCAACAATTTTCCTAAGGTCATCATATTTTATCATTCAGTGTATATGTTATTGAACTAGCGCACACTAAATTCTCTTTAGTTTTATAAGAGAGTAATGAAGGATCTGATTCAATCGCATGGTGAATTTCGTCATGTATGGAACAAACGAAACCCGAACTGGTTGAGCCTCACGAGCAGTGCTAATATCAAACATTGACATATATGATGTTCTACGCAATGCATGGTTTTGCTTTCGACATCTTCAAGGAAAACTCAACTCTGATGTAGTAAAATGCTCCGCCTAATTTCCGAAATAACAGATGTGACAATTGAGATCGGGAGCACTGTTCCGCTCCGCTCCGGTTTTGTTTCATTTTTCCCCATCTCTTTCTGTCACATGACAGCCCTGTAATTGGTCACTTCCTGAAGAGCGGTTTATACAGTCAGGTAGCAATGAATTTGCAATGCGTCCTAGTGATTCCGTTAACTCTTCGTTTGCTTCGTGCATGACAAAATTCACCATTTAGTCAAATAATGTTCTTAACTACTCTCGTATAACGAGTAGTCAGATTCCGAATGTTTGCAATCGAGTGGTGCTCCCCTCTGGGAGCTAGTGATCAGATGATCAGATTATGATGCTCGCAACAAGAAGGGTTGTCGTGTTCAGACATAGTGAAAGACGGTTTGATGAGCTGCCCGGTGGCCTAACGGATCGTGTGAGAGATCCCGGGTTCGATCATCAGTTGGATCCTTGGATTTGGGCACAACTGGACGAGACCCAACCAGATCGGAATACCTGTCCGGTGCTTTTAACCTTTTTGGTTCTTTTTTTAACCTTGTGAACACACAAACATAAACGAAACTGATCACTGTACAACTGTTCATTTTTCCTGGGACCTGACGACAGCCTATTATGGGGGTACCTCGTTCGTGACCATGGTAAAGCTCAAACCCGAACGAACTGCTTCTGATTACAGAGGAGTAGGAGCCTCCAGTGTTTAAACGCGACCATGTGGAAGAATACAAATAGCTCTCGTGCAATTTCAATGGCCAGTCGATGATTTTATCGAAAACAGCTCGTTTTGCCTATAGGACCTTATTTTCCACAGTTATTTTCATTTATTTAGTAAACGTGACCGAATCGGTTTATCGTCTAGGGAAACTTTTGTGACAGTATGGCATTCCAGGTCATAACACCTTAACTCTGTGCATCTCAGAAAGTCAGCTCTACTATATTTTTATGAGCTAGATGCATTTAAGAATGATTTAGAAGAGGAGTACCAGATACTCATGCTTGACAAGTGATAAGAACCTTGAACCCAATTTTATGCCACTGGGAAGTTTTATCCAGGCATTCCCCACAAGACGTATGAAAGTGGTTCAGGATGACGGAAACTATGTTCAAACAGGCACTTAAATGTCACAGACTAAACGATAATCGTAGTCGAGGTCCTATTTAAAGAACCCATTATTATTTTTCCTGTGATTGGTCGAGAACAATCAGTGAATTATTGCCATAAACTGCATTATATTTAGGTTCACAACGTGATCGGGGATGCAATGCGTGGTGCCTCGTGGGTATCTCTGCACAACGGTGGTGGTGTCGGCTGGGGTGAAGTAATGAACGGTGGGTTCGGTCTCGTATTGGACGGCACACCGGAAGCGCTGGAAAAAGCCCGACGGATGCTCTCTTGGGATGTAACCAATGGGATCGTTCGGCGTGCATGGGCTGGGCACCCATTAGCTAAATTGACCCTACAGTATCGAGAGAAAGTACATCCAGCGGATCCGGAGGACGCGTTTGAACCGCTCTTGCCCGAGCGAGTTCAAGATCTCAGACTTTTGGAGGTCGCTCTTAAAAAAGCCTATCAGTGATCTGATCTATCGCCCCTAACTACAAACACCTTTGTTTTTTACGCATTATTTTTTACCCCCATTATCTAGGCAACCGTTTCTCAATAATACTTTGTTCCTCTGAACCGATTTCTAAATTGGCCACAAGATTGTTCTTTGCCCGTGGCATCAATCAATTCAAGCACATAAATAAATTTGACAAAATTCCACCATAATTTTGACTTTTTGATATTATTTTACCCGAGAGACAACTTTAATAGAGGCTGTTCCGTTTCCCCAAGTCTCTTGAAGGTGTGTATATATATCGAACCAGACCACACCATTTGATTTCCCTGATAGTCCTGTGGGAAAACCCATGTTAACTGTAATATCATAATCGAGTTTACCACATTCTACGCGGAAAAGTGAACATCATTTTAAGAAACCGAACCGGTCCTCGAATTGAGCATATTGCGTCAAAGATAACCGACTGTTCTTCTTCATGCACAGAATAGCAGAATATAGGTTGAAGACTCAGCGCAGCCTAGATTAGGAAATGCAATCATTCACAAAAAGCCAATAAAAATGCCCCACACTTTCAATTGTACAATGTTTAAAAAATTTCCAGGTTTTTTCACATAAGTTTTATTCCAACTGCATGACTAATGAAAAAATAAAGATAGAATTCAAAAATAAATGTAAATACATGGTTACCAGTAACTTGACCATTTGGGACAAATACTTCACCAACTCTTCCTGTCATACTTCAGGATTTGGTCAGTACGGGAGCAGGATACAAATAGATTGTTGGTGTTCAAACACCGCTGTCTACGCTGCATTGCACGAATCTGGTGGGGCAGCCGGACGAGCAATGCTGAGGTTAGGCACAGAGGTCTAGGTAACCGCGGTAGTCTACGGAACAAGTAGTCGACCTCCATGGGCTGCTTTGGTTGGGGCATGTGCTACTCATGTCACCAAACAGATTGCTACGGCGTGGGCTGTTTACCGAAGCAAGTGTTGAATGCAAAATATGCCAGGGTTGGTCCCAGTAAGACCTGGCATTAGGGTAAGAATACCCTAACCAGGAGACACATAGGTCCCGTTGAGCTCTCTGGCTGATGACCTTGNATGACCTTGAAATTATGGTCACCGATGGTTAGAGACATTGAGTGATATGACTACGTATCAAAAACAGCAGTTCCCGTGCATCTACTCATTGTTTTTGGAGCTGTAGTCCATGTTAATCCTCTATCACCTTTGACTCGGCTCGCAACGTCCCATTCTTCCCTCTGCCCCACGACAGAACTGTTCATAAGGATCCTAGTTAAGTGGGACTGGGAACCCAGTACAGTGACTGAGCGCGGATGTAAACTCCACTTCTAACAGAGTCTAAGACTGGTGTTTA